GTACTAGCACAGTCCCCATAAAAGCTCCTTTTTACAACTGTTGTGCACTTTGGATTTCCTGTTTTAACAGCCAGAGAGTCAGGCTAATGTGTTTGTCTATTGCAGAAGGCAACAACTGTCAGAGTGTTTATTTCCTAGAAACAATTTGAATCTGTTTCTTTAGATGGCCATTGAGTACGTGACAGTCCCATCATTAGTCTGCCAGGGCCTGACCAGGAGCACTGCAGACACTGACAGTGCAAGGAAAATGGAGGGGAAAAAAGGAAAAATTAACAGTAAACCAAATCTGTGGGTGATTTGCTGCGTATAGTTTGCAGCTGGTGGCTGGCGTGTCATTCTGCAGTGCATAACACTTAGAGAAGTGCATTCATCTCATGTGACACTGACACAGGGATTTTGCTCTAGGTTATTTCTCACAGGGCAGGAAGGCGTTGGTCTGCCTCCCTACATCTGAAGGTGCTGCTTGTCAACAGCCATCGCTTTCCGTGTTAACTTTTTGGCTCAAATAAGGGCTTCCCTCTGCATGGTCATTTCTGGGTGAAATTGCCTGAGTCTCCTTCCCAAAGACAACAGAGCGAGGCAGGAGAAAGGCAGGACATCTCCATCCTCGAGACATCAGCACAGGCAGCGTGCAGCACCCAGCACTTCTGCAGGAAGCAGTGTGCCTGTGAAAGCAGCACGCAGCAGAATGGTCAGGGGCACACTGCTGCTTTTGTGGGGCAGCAGGGCAAGAGCAGCTCTACGTTGAGGCATGAGCTATAAGTTTCTTTGTGCTTTGACTGGAGGACAGCGCTGCTTCCCAGCTTCCTGCCCTCACATCACTAACGTGGCAGCGCTGTCAGTACATCATTTTGTCATATTTGCTGATGTTAGTTATATTTCTAGGAAGGGAAGGGACTGACTCATTGGCATAGCAGACAGGTCACGGCTTCCCCTTGAATCATTTGGTCTTGCTAAGGAGTATCTTATTGATTAGAGATGGCTTCCGTGGCTACTGGGGAGAAAGATAGGAAAATATATCCTGGTGGCCACGTGAGCAGATGGGGAGAGCAGGGCTGTGTGATGGGCTGCTGAGGGCGTCTGCAGTGCTGTTTCACATCATGATGCAATAATTAGTACCATTTTTGCTTCTAGGAAGAGGCTGTATTTGTTCTGAGTTTCTAGATAATATTGCATGCGTGAAGTTGGGAAAATATGCGTGTTTTAGGACAAGCTGATGGAGGAAGCTGAAGGATCGTTGTGTCGTCAGTCTGCGCTTCCGAGGTGGCTGTCCTGAAGTCGCACAGATGTGGGTGAATGCTTTGCAATTAAAAGCAAGAAAGCAAACTGGAAATTGCTGTTTCTCTCGAGTGCGTGCAGTGCTGAAAGCTGGAGTCAGTTCTCTGCCCTGAAAGAAATTCTGCCACAGTCACAGCAAGGAATGCAGCTCCCCATGGTGCTTTTAGGTAAAACTTGTAGGAAGAATGGCACGTTGTTTGTCTTAGCAGGTTTGCAGGGTGATGGTTTTTGTTTGCCATCTAAGTGGTTCATAAAGAAGCTTGTGCATGTTCTGTTTGGTGGGTTTGTTTTACTTTTGAAGTATAGTGAGTTTCTACAGCACTTTTATATACTATCTCTGTTTGGTGTGTGAATCTTTCAGCATTAACGTGAGGAGAGGCTGTGATTTATTTCATAAAGAAGATGGAGCCAAAGCATCTTACGATCTCCTTTGGCTTTCTTTGCCATATACTTCAGGAGAGAACAAAGCAAGCAATATGAAATTCAGCTACTCCTTTTTTTCCCCCCTTTATTCTTTAAAAACAGCAGCTGCTCCTGACGCTTTCATTTTTTAATTTGCTTTCCTACGGAAATCCTCCTTCCAAGAAGGGGAGAGATGCAGGGGAGCTGGCAGTTCCCCCAGAGCCCTACTGGAGTTTTGCACAGCATAGGTTTTTGTTTTGTGGAGCACGGGGAATGCACAGGCTGTACCATGCAGAACATCACAAGTTTCTTTGCATTTCTGGAGGGCTTTGTTGGCTCAAGAGGAGTTTGTGGGCACTCACACCATCTCTCTGCTTTCCCCACAGTCCCAACTTTTCCCCTAGGGCTGAGCTCCCCGAGGGCAACTCCTCATTTTTTCGGAGTAGTGGAGACCAAGTTGTGCTAAAGGACTCGGCTTGTGTGAGTCCTTACAGGGCTTTGAATGCTGAGGGATGCAGTTAACATTCATGGTTAGTAAAATGTTTGGTACAGCTGTGCCAGTCCTGCTTAGGAGCTGTCTGTTGTAATGGGGAAGGAGGGAATTTTGAAGGAGTTGGACTCATAGAATCATAAAGGTTGGAAAAGATCCTCAAGTCCAACCCCAGCTGTGCCGCTGACCCTCAGTGCCACAATTCCAGATCACCTCCAGGGATGGTGCCCCTCCCTGGGCAGCCTGTGCCAGTGCCCAACCACTCTTTTGAAGGAGACATTTTCTCTGATATCCAACCTGAAATTATTGGGCTGAGTTTTTAAAAATTCACTCTTAGTGAAACAGCTTGGTTGCTGCACCAGCTAACACGTATGGGGATGCACCTGCATTTCCTCCTTTCCACCCTGTTTCCCATCACTTCTCTCATTTGGCAATACTAACTCAGTTTCCTCAATCACGTGCAGTTTTTGTCCCAGTTCTGTAATGGACATCAACTAAAACATACTTCTAAACATGAGGAAGCAATAGTTTGCAAAGCATTCAATGCATTTAATTTCTGCCTTTCATTTTTGCCTTGAAGTAATTCAGCAACGATTTAGCAACTGTTTTCCCTCATCTCTGTCTCCCACTTGTCTTGGCTGTTAGGCACTGCTCGTTCCTAGCAAGAGGAGTTGTTGTAGCTGTTTATTAGGTGACATCATTTGCCTTCCATCCTGAAGATTTCAAGTGTGTTCACTGGGATGTGCAGCGCTGCTGGGAAACCTCTGCATTGTGCTGTTCTGCTTTGTCTAATGATCTGGCTCTACAATGATGAGCTTGTTTACTTACCTCAGGAGGTGACACTGAAATCAGGAAGAGTTGACCCTTGAGATGAGACTTCATGTTATTTATAGAAGTATGAACGTTAGTTTACTCTCATGACAGACATCTGTAGGATTTCTGATGGGCCCACTATGCACACAAAAAGCGTGGTTCTCTTCATTCTGTGTGCATTATTCTGAGGGATTTTACATTTCATCCTTCTGAAGCTGCAGAAGTGCTCGGTTTTCAGGTTTCAGCTGTTCCAACTATAACCAAAATGATCAATTCCAACTTACGGTTCTACATAATATCTAACAAAAGCGTTTTCCCTACACACTCATTGGAACAGGTAATTACTGCAGCAACTACAGACTAATTTGAAGTGCTAGCTGTTAATTAAAACACTACGGAGGTGTACGGTTGTCTTTTGGTGTAACCAAAGCTCCCATTCAGACTCCATTAATCACTTTGCAGTTATTGTGTTGGGGAAGGTCAGGACAATTGAGATGCCGTATCAGCCCAGAGTAAACAAATTCCCTTCCTCCCAGGTAGCAGCCATTCGCAGAGCCAACGGACGCGCTGTACCCGTGGGCATGGCATCTCCTTTGTGATCCAATTCTCAGTGATAATTAAATGTTAAATTGGTACTGTCAATGCTCTGTAAACCAAACCAGGTATCTGCCCTCTGCTGGAAATTTAACCCAAACTTCCACGGATGAATTAGCGTGCATCATAATTAAATAATCAAGTCTTCCCTTTTAATTCACTTGGAAACAGGAGATCTCTCTTATGGAAAAAAGATCGGCTTTCTTGACAAGCTAATTAAGTTGCCAAACTGCCCGGCGCAGTGCGGATGAAGCCAGCAGACGCTGAGCACTCTATCTCAACCTGTTCATTTTCTTATCATTTCTGCTGATCTGAAGTCCATCATGTTTTGCTGCTGTCGATTCCTCCGTCGTCGCAGCAGAGCTCGTTTCCTCCCCTTGATGCATCGATTATGCGCTCGGCCGCCGCTCTCAGGGCTCCACCCAGGGTTTTGCTGTTTGTGCTTCAGCTGACATTTGGTAACGCTGATTTCTGATGCTCTTTAGAAACCACGTGTGTTCCTACAAGCTGATGGCCCTCAGTTCCGTCAGCATTTATCCAGGAGTTCCGAATCACGGGTGAAGTTCAGAAATTTCTGAGCTATTCATGGTAGTTCTGTAAGCACTCCGGGTCATGAGTGAGATCCAATGCTCTGTACCACGTATGTCTTTGTATGTAGGAGAAGGCTATTAGGCTCTTTCTTCAGTAATCATTGCTAGAGGTATGCAGTGCTCAAATGCATACCTAACATGATATGACTCAGATTTAGGGCACCGTGCAGATGGTATGAGGCAGTAAAGGCAGTGAAGGTGAAAGGCTTTATTAGTTTTGCTCATCTGCAAAGTTCCATTGGATTTTCAGTGGACTTTTTTTTTTTTTCTTGTACCTTTCTTAGATGAGGAATATGTGAGTCACTATTGCTAATAACTGTGAACATGGAAAGTTCATTTCACACACATCCTCTGCAGGTCTTTAGGTTTTGGTAAAGAATTGGACACTTCACATCAGTGTGGTGATGCAGCTGTGCATCGCACCGTCCGAACCCTGGAAAGGCCCTCAGCAATGGTGCAGCCAGCCCTGCTGGTTGTTACAGGTCTGAATACTCAATATTGCAGCTGGTCATTGAGAGAAAATGAGAAAGTGAACAAATTCACAATTCAAGCTTGCTGTGACTCTGTGCCAAAGTGTGCAAGGTGTAGATGGTATATAAAGCATGCAGATATCAAACAAAACACAACTACTCAGCACTTTCGTTGTAGGTATGTTCCGCAGAGCAATTGCGTTCATCACTGCCTGTCTTGAGAAATGCTTTATGGAAATTGGTTTAGAGGGAAGAGTATTGGCTCCAAGTCATTTTTCTGTGAAATTAGCGTATACATGTTGCACGTATGTGTGAAAATAATTTCATGTCATCTTGAGTTATTTAATTTTTTCCCTCACGCAGGGCATACCATGTCCCTAGTGGAAAAATCCTGGCAGTAAAGGTAAGATATTACCGTAATTTTCTCTCTCTCTCTTTCTCTCCATTCTTTCTTGACCTGGGTTTCCATCCCCTCCCTCTGATCGTTAGCACTCAGCTTGCTTGGTGGCATTCAATCCCCATTGTCCATGCAGGCAGACTGCAGTACAGGAATCCTGAGGGCAGGAACTCCGTGGTCCCACTCTCACCCTGTGGGGGCTGCAGAGCTGCCCTGGCTCTGCATGGGTACCCCAGCCCAGGGCTGCATGAGGTGTGGGCACAGCTAGGAGGGGTCTGCTCACCTCAGGTGTAACAGAAAGGGCTGCAGAGGTCACTGAGTGTCAGCACTGCAGCTCTGCTAATGCCACGGTGTCCCCAGGGCTGGTTTCTTGAGCTCTCTCTGCAACCTCATTTTTAAATGAAGAGGATGTCTGTTTTCTTAAGGATTGTGCTCTGTGTTCCTGGGAGATTCTGTGCCTTTAGCAGGTTTACTTATTGTCACGTTCTTCCTCTCCCCTGAATGTGTGTATTTACCTATAGCTATTTGTCCTGTTATGCTCTCAGCAGCAAAGCTGTGTGCTGTGGTGGTATTGTTTGGTCAGGTGAGTAGCAGACCTCTCTAAAGTTCAGTTAAAGCTGTGGCAAACCAGTAATGCTACAACAACTGCAGTTTGCCAACCTCTGCATGACTTAGAGTTGAACTGTTAATGCAATGAAGCTATAGAGAAAGTACTGATGTCAGTCCTTGTGGAGGTCCTATCAGTCCTGGGTGCTGCTTTTTTCTTGAGGATCACATCAGGCCCTTTGCTTTCAACTTTGCCATGAGTTGAGTAAAGGCAAACCCTTACTACCAGGTCTGAACTCATTCTCTGCATGTTGAAAATGCAGGTACTGCAATTTAAATAACTTCTGATTGCACAGAATGTAAAGATCACTTACAAAGTCTTTCAAGTGACATCTTCATTCTTCATTCTTCATTCAAGGCAATACGCACAAAAGTGCAGAAATTCTAGCTGTCAGTGATACTTGTGTTACAAATTCCAATGCAGAACTAAGGAAGCTCACCCCCTGGATGCTGTGCTTCCCTGGTGTCCCCCTGTGCCCCCACTGCCCACTGTGGGCTGTGCTGGGGCTGCCCTAGAGGCGGCTGCAGGGAGGTGGAGGAGTGGGAGCAAAATGGTGCCGGCAGGAGGGGAAATGAGTTCAACCTTTGCAAGGTTAATTGAAATCACCTCCCTGTGGCAAAAAAAAAAAAAAAGCCTTTCCCCTGCAATTTCACCTTCTTGTTTCCCTTTGAGTCCAAGGGTTGGGTTGGTCCTCCTGGTTAATTAGCATCGTGAAGATTTGGGAAGTGGAGTTCTGTGTGCAGGTGCTGCCCGTGGTGGTTCCATCACTGCCAGTTGTGTTTTTGAGTTCATACTGCAGCAGTTGAAGGAAGATGCTCGCAGGCTGGAGGTCAGGAAACCTGCTATGGCAGTGATAGTGCTGATTTGCTCTATTAATAAACTTAGCGATTGCATCCACGGCTCAGCACAGCCAGCAACAAGAGCAGAGCTGTGCCAGGATCAGCACAGATCTGACAGGACACGGCATCAGCCTGGAGACCTGTTGATCAGAATCCTGTCAGCTGTTGGTTAATCTTGCAAATACATTGGACAGGCAAACAAAGCGATGCTAATATCTATATTATAGACCAAAATCATGCAAGTATCTATATTGTAGATCAAAGCTATCTTTGTGTAGTATGTTGTATAGTTGTGTAGTTTGCATATCCTTTACAGGTAGGCATCGTGCAAACGATTTCATAGATTTTCAAACACAACCTTTCTGTAGCGAGTAGGAAAAATCCAAAGGAGAAATGTGGGTGTGCGTGGGCTGATTGCTGATCTTCAGCTGCTTTTAGCTTCTCCTGCTCTTAAGCTAGCATTTAAATGGACCATTTGATTAATCATTTGTATACTGACTACAATACTCCCAAGTTTCCTTGGAGTTGTACATACTGTAAAAGACAATTATGTCGCCACAGATTAAATAAGTGAATTAAAACAGAATAGCAGCTTTATTTGACCTGTGATTTTGCTCTCGTTCCCTTTAGCGGAACGTATGCCACTCCAGCAAATAGATGAAGTCATCCATGACAGCTTGTGATGAATTGCCGTATTTATACTGTATATTTTAATAGCCTCACACTAATTTAAATTGAGCACGGAGTAAATTATAATTCAGTCACTTGACTGCTTGTATTTAACTTGACAACTCATCCTTATTTGTCCTGGAGGTGTGGTGGAGAGCAGAGGAAACGTGTTCAGGTATTCCTCCTGCAGGAGTTAACCCTTTTCACTTGCAATGGGGGCTGTGTTGGGTTCCCCCATGTTAGGGCCCATCCAGCCCAGCTCCTCCTGCAGCGAGGGGTTCTGTGTGAGCTCAGCTTCACTCCTCTGCTCTCAGTAATCCAGAGAAAACCACTTTTTTGCTGAAGGGTTTTTTCTGAAGGTGCTGTTTTAGAGACTTGCTTAGCATTGCACCTCATTTGCTTACCTGTGCTGTGATGGTGGGAGTTGCAACCAAATCGATATTTATGGCTTCTATCTTGGCAGTGATGGGTTTGAGGAGTCTTTTTTCATTTTCTAGACGTGTTTGGAAATGATGCAGAAAGAGAATGGCAGTGAAGATTGCAATTGTAGAAGATTGCACTTTTTTCCTCTTTTTGCCCCCATTTCAGTGGTGCAAATAACTTCAGATTCCTCCAACCTTGCCATCAGGTGGATTCTCTGCTTTTCTGAGTCATGCAAACCACGTGTGTTGGGGTGGACTAAAACACTTCCATGTAACTGCATGGAGAAAGGGAGGCAGTGGACTCCCCAGTGTGCTCTGCAGGGATGTTCACCTCCAGGCTACTGCAGCGGGCTTCCATAGGGCTCTACCCTCTGGTGCCCATCACACCATACGCTGGCAGCTCCACTCCTCCAAATTAGCATCGCTATTAGAATGCAGGTTCTGGGTGTAATTATGATCAGTGCAATCAGCCAGAGACCTTCCTTCCCGCCAGGTCTTGCTTTGCTGTGTTGCAGTGATGTGTTGGAGGCTGGTGACGCTGACCGGTTGTCATGTGGGGCGGTGAATGAGCCTGGGAAATCTCTCACTGAATGGAATTCAGCGAGATAAAATCTGATTTTATACAGTGGATAGATTCAATTCTGTTAGTATTCAGTGGGTAAAACTGGTGCTATACCAGCAAATTATTTTAGGTTTTTCACGCTGGAAAAATGTAAGCGAATATTGTTGGCAAATGATTATTGATCTAGACAAGTGTGCTAAACATTCCTCAGCAGCCCTGTATTACACTTACAATTTAGTTTAGTGACGGCTTGTATAAATAACCCTAAAGCAAACTCCTGATAGAAGCAGGATATTGGTTTTTTTTGTTAGACAGAATACTGTAAGATGTGTTTGGAAATGCTCTCCACGCATTTGGTTTTGTCAGCAGTATGTGCAGCCTGTGTCTGCTAATTCTGCAAGTGGACTGAATTTGTTTTCCTGGAGCTTAATACAAGTAGCTGTGAAGTATCCTCTGGTAGGAGTCCCAGCCTGGCTGAATGCATTCAGAGTCCTTCTGATTTATATAGTAGCACTTGAGAAGTAAGTCTGCAAGTCTCCTGTAATCATGGAATAGATTGGTTTTAAAAGTCAGCTTCTCAGTACTGCCAAGGGTGCACTGGTCTTCTCTGATGGCTTCTGGAGAAGGTGGAAGAAAATTTTGTGGTCTTATTTTTAATATTTACTGTTCTCTTAAAAATCGAGGTGAAAAGATTGAAGAAATGAGGTCATAACAGAGTTATGGTTTATGGGTTATCGTTGCTCTGCAGTGAGCGTGCATGTTTGGGAAGGTCCTGCTGTCAGCCTCGAAGCAATGAGAAGTGAGGGCATGGATGGGGGGAGCAGATGACCCTGGCAGTGAATGGCTGCTTTGATCTGCTTAGTTGGGCTGTTTGTAGTCATTTTGAGGAACGCTTTAGTGATGCTTACCTGGAAGCATCTGTGCCATCTGCTGCCATCTGCATTTATTCTGTATATTTGATTTTTTTTTTAACGTTTCATAAAAAAAGAACAAATATACAACGATGAGAATTTATGTTAGAAAGAGGCGTGAATGCAAACCTGGAACTGTAAGCGTGGCTGCAGGAGGTGGCTCTGGACACCCCTTCAGGGCACTGTTGAGACATTGAGATCTGCCTTTGATACTGTGGTGCTTGTTTGGCCCTTGCTTAAAATCAGCTCCTTCATCAAGGTCACAGCATTCCAGAATTTACTTACAAATGTGTTTGTAGCAGGGGGGGTCAGTTGCAGGCTCTGTTCACAGACCACGAACCCACCATACCTGCTCTTTGCATTGCGTGTTGGGCTCGACTTCAAGTTCTGGGTCGTCTCTTGGTCAGATGGATAAACCACAAATCTCCCCGCTTTCCATGAATAAAATTGGTTGCCTAGCTTGGTTCATTTGTAACCGACTTCCCAAAGTAAATACTCCTGTCCTTTCATTTCCTTTTGCTGCCCATGGCTGTTAAAGCAGTCCTTCCACCGCTTCCTCCCATTCCTCTGCTCACATCAATGCACACCTTCTGTTCTTGTGTCGAGTCCTTTGCTTCCATGGCGGAGCTGAATGTGTGCCTGATGTCTGTGTTTCAGGTCATACCCTTGGATATAACGCTAGAGCTCCAGAAACAGATCATGTCAGAGTTGGAGATTCTCTATAAGGTACAGATTTTTGTACTCATTGGAATTGCTCTTGCTTATCATTGTCCTACAGAAAATGTTACAGGCTTCTTTTTGCCTTTCTTCTTCCAGTGCGACTCGTCGTATATCATAGGATTTTATGGGGCTTTTTTTGTAGAAAACAGAATCTCTTTGTGTACAGAGTTCATGGATGGTGAGTTGTTTTATTGGTTTTTTTTAAATATATTGAGTGTGCTTTTAATTGCTAAGCATGTCAAGATGAAAAATCATGTAAAGATAGATGTGCTTTCCCAATATGGAGCAAGATGCAGTGTTTTGACTTTGAAATATCAGGTAAAATATTGAGAACTTTGCAGGTAGGTTTTTTTTTTAAATGGGTTACTGTGGGGTTTGTGTTGTGTTCTGTGCCGTGCTGTATTTTCCTGAATGCAATTTCACTTTCTTTTATTGAAAATGTAAATAGAAGAGAAATAAATGCTGGCTTAATTTGTGGTTTGATATTTGAGTCTTCCATACAATCTGTCCTCACTGACGAAACAGCTGTTCCTCACTTTTAGTGTTTTGATAGCCAAAACAGATTTTCTTTTAAAGAAATCTATTAACCCAATGTCCTGTGTGTTTTCAGTGGAAATCGGTTCTTAATTGCAAAGCAAGGAATTATTTTCCAACGCAGCTGTTTAGCAGCGCTGCACCAAGTTTGTTTGTGAGCGTGCTCTCCTCTCTCCCATCCCCTTCCCTGCAGCTTGCCCCTGCATCCTTGCAGAGATGTGCTTTGGAACGTTGCATTCTTGCACCAAAGAAGCACGCGGCTGACGGCAGCTTGCAATCATTGCTGCCCTCTGTGTACCAATCCTGAGAGCGTCTCATGGCAGACACAGCCCTGCTGCGTGCTGCAGCGGCGCTGCTTTGCTCCCAGCTGTGTTCCTATGTGTGCTATTCCAGGCCTTGCCCCGAGCTGGCATTTGCTGCCCTACCCAGGCTGTGCACGAAGGTTCAGTTAAGCTGCATATGAAGAAGTGAGGATCTCGCTGATGATTTACTACAGAGGAAGGGCTATCTGACAGGAAAAAAAAAATTCCCAAGCCAAATGTGTGCCATTAAGCACTGTTGAGCAGTTTCTGTCTTTCTGATGGGGAGCTCAGATAAGGCCCTGTAGGGTTTTATGCTGCATTTTGTTTCCTTCCTGTTAAAATGATCTCTTACTACTGTTATTTCCCTCTTTGCATTTACAGCCTCTGTTCCAGTGGGTCTTGTGTCCCCTCTGCAAACATTCTGTTCTCTTAGATTTTCCCTATTTACAGGGCTTGATGAAAAAGTATGATATTTATTCACCAAAGCCTACAAATTAAATCTGTGGGTGTTCTCTGTGACCATTCACCATTTCTCTTTTCTGTTCTTGCAACTGCAAGATTTGCACGCAGTATCACACGCAGGAAGGAAGCAGCTGCTCGTGCCAGAGCATGTGTCTGCCTGGAGCGTGTGTGCTGCTAATTCAGAGACTCTTAAATATGATGGACATAAATGCTTGCAGTTCCGAATTCTTGTTTGGAAATATTTAAGCCTTTAGGGCTTGCATCCCTTGTGATGTTGCACGACGGCGGTGTTTACTGACCACGCAGAAATTATTTGGAATTATACTGGAGATGACCTCTGATCTGCCTCATGTTGTGCACCCCTTCTGGCAGAAAGCAGCAGCAATCATTTAAAGGAAGAACAAAATGCAAATACAGGGACCTTGCCAATTATTTTCCTTTCCCAAGCCTTCGATTGGGATGGGTGAGGATGCAGGTGAAGACAAGAGCCTGAACTGACCTGGATTCCTCTTCCATCTGCCGTGGTAAAGATCAATGGAGATGTGAAATGAGGCTTTCTGATCTTTCTGTCTGCAATAGAGCTGATGTTCTTGTGAATGAAGGTGCTGAAATGCACCGCTGTCTTTTACCTGTGCCGTTGCCTCTTTTCCTTTAAAGTGCTGAGCACCCGCTAAAGTCCCCATAGAAGCAGTGGGACGTGCAGGCCAGCAGACTGCACCTGGTTACCTGTGCAAAGGTTTGGGTTTGGAAATTTGGTCCCCAGTGTTTATTCACTATCAGTTATTTTTTTCTCCATAAAGAAGTGGCACATTTCCCCAACTGTTTGCAAACTTGCCTTGCTGCACCACCCTTAGCAACACCCGTAACAGCAGCGTTTAGCAGCTTGGTGTATGAGAGCAGGTCTTTTAATCCAGAACAGAAGGGTAAGTCATAAGGTCAGGTGGTTGCTGTTAGTGCTGAGCATGGCCTTCTGTTTGGCTCTTATAATCAACAGCAGCTGTGTGGTGCTGCTGCCTCTTAATTCCGTTTGCCCTATCTACATTCACTTGTAAAAAGGGAAGAAAGATCACTAGAATAAAAAAAGTGTTAAGACTGAAGGCTGGAATAAGGACCTTGTGACTTCTTTATCTTGCAGTGTTTAAGAATGAATGAGTTTAACTTCTAAAAACGGAGCCATAAGCAAAGTGCAAGGTGCAGCTTTCCTAACTGCTGAGTATTGGCCCAACTCTTTTCCCATTGGTGACATCAGTGCAATCCGTAGGGTACGCTGAGAGCAGTTGGATCAGTGCTAAGCACTTCTGAGAACCTTTAGCCTGGAATAAGCCTATGCATTCTTGCAAGCTAATTGTAATACATTCTGCATGTAATTTGCCTGGTTTTTTTTTCTTCTCCCTGTTCTACTTGTTTTTTTTTAATTCTCAATTTTAGATTTGCTTCCTTAGCCAAGAATTTGTATTTCATCCCAGAGAGGTTGTTAATGCAAGTGTGGTCTTGTATTTACGTGGAAGCTGCGGGAAAGAGCCTTTCTCAGTTTTGGGGGATGTCTTTAGGACCATGACTTAGATTTCTTGCTTTCTCCATAACTGTATGATCCTGATGGATGTTTCTGTGCCAAGTACGTAATTGTGTCCCATACTGGAGCTTTCTGGCAAAACTTATTTGCTTGCCCGGGAGTTCCTCATGTTTTAGACATCAGTGCAGATGCAGTTTGGAAGGCTCAGCCCAACTCACTGCTCTGATCGTCACACAAAGAAGCTGACTTTAAGTATGGGTTTGAGCTTTGCATTATGCTGGCACCAGGTTTTGGAGGCAGGCAGAATACTGCTGGCTTTGGAATCCACTTTGGCTTGTTACCATGGCTTTGTCAGTCCCTGAGAACCTACACGGAGGTTTTGAGTTCTCCAGTTTCAATACTGTGTCCTCTGGCTGGGAGGTTTTCCAAGAGGTGTTTTAGCATTAATGCTACGTACAGAAATAAGTAACGTGGGTGAAAAGAGAAGCAAATACTGTTCCATGTGATTATTCAAAGTTTGGTAAGGTCAGTTATTTCTGACACAGTTATTGTTATATCATTGATGGTGTTTTTATTAATAACCAAGGCATAGAAAGCCCTTGTGACTTCAAATCTAGGGCAGTATTTCATTTTGTATTACCTAAGCACATTTTGTTTGTCCCTGCAGGGGGTTCTTTGGATGTTTATAGAAAAATTCCAGAGCACGTACTGGGAAGAATAGCAGTAGCTGTAAGTATTTCTTTGTTTATTTTTCTGCCTGGTTTTGGTAACACCCTGATGTGAGTGCACCCAATCTCCCTGGGAACACTGAGTTACCTCCTTAACCCTCATCCTCATTGCCCCCATGTGAAGGGAGGATCCATCCTCTTTGTCGCTCCTCCTACCCATGCCTGAGGACACAGCTCTGAGGGCAGAGGGCTCTGCTGCCTCTGGAGTTCAGTCATAGGCGCACACCATTTGCTGCTGTAAAGGTTTTGCTGGGCCAAAGAGGGGTGAAGGAAATCATCCCATTGTGTGACCCGTACTCAAGTTGCCGAAGGCTCAGGGAATGTAAGAGGATGTGATAAATCGAGTGAGATGAGAAAAAGACACGTTTTATTGGAGATCTGCGTGGCTGTGATTCTTGACATCACCTTTTCTGGGATGGAGCAGTCCTCTTATCCTCCTTTAATTCACCTTTGTGTGCTCTCCTATGCTGTGTGGCTTCCTAATAAATCAATTCTGCAGCCCTCTCCTCAGCCACGCTTTGATCCCTCCCTGGCCACTCCTGCACACCATGTGTGCCATTTCCATGCTGTCCATCCTCACTCTGCACCAAGTAACACAATGAGGTTTGGCTGAAAACTCTGATTTGGGGTTGAAAAATGGCACCAGTTCCTGATACCAGGGCGCAATGGTAGGACGCATTTTCTGTCTTCTTTCTGTCTTGGCAATAAGGCAGCAGGGAGCTGCTCTGGGATCACCCTGCTGCCGTTTTGGGCTGAGCAAGGAGCTGCCTGGATCCATCAGCCCCACGTGCCTGTTTGGTAGCAGGGGCTGCTGGTGGGCTCCTTGCACCTCCTGGCATTGTGTCTCAGTAGCATCCCATGACTTTGCGTTGCTGGAAATTTCACCAGCCGTGACTGAAAACGCAGATTATGGAACAAAAAAAGAGAAAGGAGAAAAGAAAAGTGTGTTGTTTTTTTTTTTTTTTTTAGCCAAGTCTGAACAGTGTGTAATTGACCACTGTCTCAGTGGATCTCACAAGGGAGAGATGCTGCTGAACAATTGCTAAATACAAGGAATACTTTGATAACTTAAGCAGTTTAAAGCATAACAAAGTTATTCTATCGTGTGCCATTTAATTAAGTGCTGGGTTTTCACATTCATTATACATCAAGCTGACAATTTAAATCCTTTAATCCAACACAGGCAGCTATTTAGTCTCTGTTCATTGTAATTCACAGCTCTACTTTCTCTTAATTTGTGTGGCCTGCCCAGAGTGATGAACATCCTTCTCTGATGCTGTTTCCTCTAAGTAGCTTCAAATCTGCTCATTATATAGCCTAGCAGTTTCTTATGGAATTTGAATGCTTTTCACCTTTAGTTCAGTGCAAAAACGTTTCATCTTTTCTTCCCCATGGAGCAATGGATGGAGTTGCTCATGGTATCACATTCCTGATGCCGAGCAGCTTGTGTGTTACAGTGTAATAATGCTGGGATGGGCCTTCGAGCATTTATTCAAATCCTTTTCCTTATCTCACTTCATACTGTGTAATTAATACATCCACACTAACGTACTTTATCATTTCTTTAATTATTTTTGTCTCCCTCCCATCTCTGTCCCACCCAGCTTGGTGCTCTGCAGAAGTCCCCTTCCTGTTCTTCACTTCTCCGTAGCAGTGGTGCTTCAGCCCCATCTTTTATGTCTCCAGTAAATATGCTGTGTGTGTGTGTACCTACATGCTCAGCTGCAGGGTCATCTCTTTACAAACCTGGTAGCTGGTGAGCATGGCTCCCTGACACAGGCAGAGAGCTGATGCTTGGCTTTTTTCATAGTGATTTCATTTGCTGCTTTAGCGATCTATACCGTGGCTGCTGTGGTGCAGAGGGTCAGCAAAGAGGTGAACAAAGGAGCAGGTGCTTCCAAAGAGGAGCTCGCCCCTTCCTCCTGCTTCCCAGTAACAGAAGGTGTGCGCTGAGGCTGAACCAGCACTGGCAGCTCCCTCTGCTCTGGTGCTGAATTCTTGCTCAATTGGCATAGTAGACTTGTTGGAAGGAGGCACTGAGAGCTGTTGTTTGCTCCATCATTTATCAGGAGCAGCAGGAACGGCGCCGTTAAGTTGTCACAAATGAGTGCCCTTCATCTTGGTGCCTGACATTTCAGCAGAGCCCAGCAGCCCGGCACGTGGGTTGTGGCACCTTTTGCCAAGCATAGTGTGTGTGTACCACAATCCCCACCCCGAACAGGTTGTGAAGATTACCCAGAGCCTCAAGGATTTCTGCTCACATACAGGTGGGAAGGAGAATGTCAAACAAAAGCCAGAGCTTGGTTCTGTGGACAGAATCTGGAGCTTCTGCATTATTTTTCTTTCAGTCTGTGCATTTTCTTTTTCCTTTCCTTGCACCATGTATACAGAGTCATTTGTCTTTCATTCTCTTGAGACACACACTGCGCATTAGTCTGTTGGAACTGCTTAATAATATGTGTGACCTGCACATCTGTTAATTAGAGTACCTTTTTGTTATACTTGTAGAAGTTTCTAAGCTAAGCCATTTCCAAAGGAAAGTGATAGGGGGGGCACGTAGCAGTGCCACAGCGTTCCCCTATCTGATTTGATAGTTTTCTTGCTTCCTTTCTCAGTACATACATTCAATCTCCATGAAAAGCACTGGGCTGACACCCCTAGAAGTAGTTGTCCTGCTCACAGAACCGAGCTGGTCCAGGATGAGATCCATGTCTGCTCAACACAGCAAAGCCAGCACCGTGCCCCTGAGCTAAATCCTGAGCCCTATTCAAGGTTGTTCTGCTGTCCTCCCTGATCTGCACAGGCTGAGGCTGAGCAGGACACATCCCTTTCATGACAGCCCCCACTTCCCATAGCCCAGGGAGCGTTCAGTTCCTTCTTTCTCCCCCGTTTCTGTGTGATGCTGCTGTAAATACTTGCACTGTGCATTGCAGGTGTCTGTTAGAGGGCATGAACATGCCACGTAGCATACATGCAGTTGGTACAGCACAGCTTGCTTTCCGTTCTTGTTATCTGATTCACACAGCAGAAGTGATCATGTTAATTGTGGTGGACAGTCAGCTTACAGGCTGAAGCAGCAGGAGTTTATTGTTGAGTGCAATGCACTTCTCTCCATTATTATTTTGTGGGGAGAGTGCTGAAGTTGACAGCCAGAATGCTGGAAGTAATGCAGGGAGAGCCTGGACAGAGGAAGCATTGCTGGAGCTTGGGGTGATGCTCTGTGTTTCCAGAGGCAGGATAGCACAGCAGCAGGGGCAGAGCAGACCGGCTCCCCAGGATGCTGGAGAGCAATCTGACTCCATCACCGACTCCATCCTGGCTGTCTCAGTGAGGCAGTGTCAGCACGCAGGGGAAATCTGTCTTTTTGTTCTCCTTATTTGCACAGAGGGCTGGGAGGGGGGGAGGGGGGTTGGTTTTTGTGTTTTTTTTTAAATGGGAAAAGCATATCTTGGGAATCCCAAAGCAATGTGCAGGCTTCTGTTTTTGTGCCGTCTATTTGGGTCTGCCGATGTAAAATCTGTTCTACCTTTGCTTGCCACTTCATGCATTTATTTTCACTTCAATTTCTGAAGCAGTGACATTGTGCACTGTATTTTGAGTGCTAATGTTGATTGAAGTTCTCCCTGAAAGGATGTGCACTTGAACTGTCACGCGAGTGAGTGATTGACAGCAGGTGGAAGTACTTTTTGTGTCAAGGCTTTGTCAACTCATTGTTGTAAAACCCACTTTGCTGAACACCAATAATTCCTGCTGGATGTTCCATCAAAAGATACTCTGCTCCAGCACCATTTTAGAATCACGTTTGATACGTCGAGCCCTTCCCTTGTATGGGCAGCCATAAGGTGGGGGAATAACGGTGCTTTGCACTAGGGCCCGTTTGGGGTTTCTCTGTGTGTGTATTTGCAGCCTCACTTGAAGGAAGAAAACCCTGTTTTCATTCCTCTGTACAGCATTGAGATGGTCTGAATGTGAGTTTGTTTAGTAGTGTCTTTATAACTGCTTATTCAGCACGTGTTCCATTATAGAGATGTATAATAACTCACAGCTGTTGATTCCCCCATCCCCTCCAGAATATTTCCTTTTTTTCTGTAAATACATACTTTAAATAATTTTATGATTATTCCAGGGATGTTAAATAGTCTAAACACATGTTTAATAATCAGAGGAGCTTGATGTACTTAAAATCGCTTTCACCTTTGGAGGAAACCTGAAATGTTGCATACCCTTTTTGAGTCGATGCTTTTTTCCTCCTTATGTCAAAAAGCTGTGTGAGTAGAATTCCCCCTTCTGCTTTTTGAAAGGATAAAGTGAGCAAGGCCACACCGCAGGGCATGCAGAATTGGACTGAGGCCTTTTGTTGCAGGTAATTACCATCTGAGGCCACCAGATAGCCGGAGCTGTGTGAGCACAGCGCTGAGGAATTGCCATCTAGAGCTTTTTGCCAGAGATCCAGGATCTTCATTTGGCTTGCAGGATGGATTCAGTTTTTGGTTACAGAACGAATTTTAAGACAAGTTTTTAATCCAATAGGAAGGCTGAAAGTTGCTGTGCTCTCTGCTCTCACACCGTATGATATCTGCTGTGCTTCTGCTTGATCGCTGTAACAGAAATGATTTCATTTCAACCTGCTTGGACAGCAAAAAGAATGCAGTTGTTTGGTCTGAAATAACTCCTGCGACTTCACAAATGTCAGAAATGTTTTATTGCTGTGGAGGTGCATGAAGAGCAGCAACTTGGGAGAAATGAATGGAATGTCATTTCATGGATAGAAACTGGAAAGGGTTTGCTCTGTGACAGGGCTGGTTGGCAGAGCAGAGGTGCTGCAGGTAAAAAGCAAAGGCAGGCAGGAATGTGTTGGCTGGATCTGGTGAGTCCTCAGGGCTGCTGGAAAATGTAAATCTGAGAAACAAAATTATGTTAAAGTTTGGGAGTTAGTGACATGGCAGAAATAAAGCTTGCAGTACCCAGCCTATGGATATGTTCTGCCCATGGAAACACCATGGGTGTTTGTTTTGGGCAACATTCGTAGTACAAACGCAGGCGCTACAGCTGTCCATTAAAACACATCTCCTGATGCTCTGAGGTGGGAATGGAGAAACAGCTTCTCACGTTTCATTCTAACAGCTCCACCGATGGAAGGGAGGAGAGCCAAGCACTGTGCTGCTCCTTTCCCTTCAGGGGCCCAGTTGTGTTCTGTGGGGCTGCAGGGTGCAGTGAGGCTCGTGTTTGGTCCAATGGATGGTAAGAAAAAGAAGATGGTTTCTGTAGTTGAAGAAGAAATGTTCAACGTTTGCTTTAAACAAGTAAACAATGTGGGAAGTCGGGGAAAAGTCTCTAATGTGCGTTGTTGCTTTGTCTTGACTTCAGGTTGTGAAAGGCCTTACGTATTTATGGAGTCTAAAGATTTTGCACAGAGGTGAGTAACAGATGTTGTCCATTTTTTGGTCCTGTTTTAACAGCGCTTTCCACAGAAGCAGCAGACCAGACTAACATCTGATCTGATTGCAGTGGGGTTACACAGAGTGAATCTTATTCATTAGCCTTGCAGATTCACTGATTGAATATTTTTACCACTGTTCTCCTTCATTTTCCTTCATCTTCTCAATAGCCTAAGGGGAGAAATGGATGTTGTGGAGACTGAAATGCTTGTGGTTACAGACAGGTGCCAAATGGAGTTCTCAAAATCACCAGCAATCACCAAATGCTTGACTTGCGAAACAAGAAAATAGGTGTTGAGTTTTCTTCTTTTGTGCTTCAGAAATCTTGCATGGCATCCACCAGTACTGATGGGTGTCACACTTCTAAGATTGTCACCTGTTTGTCCTCTGCAGTGGTCGTGTATAATTATAGAATCCTGCTTGGGCATAACAAGCCATTGGATGCTTGTTCTCCCAAAGCTAACTTGTATTCTTTTTACAACCGAGCTCTTGATTTTATTTATGAAAATAATATATGGGGCTGAGGTGGAGGTGTTTGGGTTTTTTTAATGTGTGCTCTAAAAAGAGTGCAAAATGCTGTTTAAAGAACAAAGAAGCCCTTTCTCCCCCGCTCTTCTCCCCAAATAAAAAAGGAAAAGAGAAACTCATTACATTTATAATGTTTCTAAAGTGTCTGAAAGTAACAGCTCCAGCTCCTAATGTCACTAACAATACTGTTTAATTTAACCCATCTGCTCTCTCAGCCCTTGTGCACAGTTGGAGCGTGCAGTAACCGACATCAGTTGTGATTGAAGGAGAAGTGTAAAGCAGGGAGACAAGTAGAACAGTTCAGATTGGGAACCAAATAGGTGAGGAAGACTGTTTCCTCTGGGGGTGTCCAGTTCTGCAATGCCTGAGAAGAAGTTAATAGGAAACCCTAATTACCACCAGGCATTGAGTTTCTGCCCCACCTCAAAGCTTTGGCTGCTCCTGTATTTAACCTTGGATGTCCCTGGATTAAAAGAACAGAAATAACCCAGAGACCGTGGCCAGCTGAGTGCAGACACGCTTTCTGGTGCTGGTTTAAACATTGGATCTATTAGCCTGCCTGTCGCCAAACACTGTGGTTTAACGGCTCCATCTACTCCAGGCGAGGGGGCATCCATTCTAGATGGCACAGCAAATGTCAGAATGAGGAGAACAGAAAAGGGAGCTGGAACATCCGTGGATGGGTGCCACGCAAATTGGGCAGCGCAGTCCTTTGCCACTCTTCTACAGCACCTGAAAAGGAAAAGCTGGTTTGAATCTTTTTTTTTTTTTTTTTTTTCCTTTTGCTTGAATCTTCTTCATTAAGGGCTGTGGCCACCTGCCGAGTCTGATTTGGAGGAGCATTGTGGTCAAGCACAAATACTGTCACTGTAATGTCTCACAGTTTCTGTTGTAAGTTTAGAGCTTGAGCCTGATTTTTGCTTCTCAGGTTTTCCCTTCTGTGTGTGGCTTTCGTTGCCTCGATAGAGAGCAGCTCTGAGTTTTTAATGAATTATGTATGATCCTCGCTGGCCTGAAGAAAAGTGCAGAAATGGCTCTTCCATCACAATTGAGGTTTTTCTGGCCTTGGTCTGTTTCTGGGTTCACCGAGATGAGAACAATATGCAAAATGCCTAGAAGTGTCCAACAGTGTTTATTCAGGGGCCTGTTTCAGTACACGCACACATACGTGTGCTTTCCTGTCTCACCAGAGAGTCACTGCATGTAATGCAGTGCAAGGGAAACACCAGTTGGTCACGGTAATCTCCTCCAGCTCTTTACTGGTTTCAACGCATCAGAGGTAAACGGGGGAAAATGGAACTCAGTCTTCCTTGTTGTCACGTATCAGGCAGGCTGGGCAGGATGCTCAGGTGGGGTAACAGGTCCAGAATTCCACGGTGGTGGTGACTGAGGTGCAGGAACAGTCATGGTGAGGAAGCTGTGCGAGGCGGTGTGGCAAACGGCGGTTTGTGACCAGAGCACAGATTAAAGGAAGGAAACACAATGAACGAGTCTTTTATTCCAGATCAGACATCTCAGCAAATATTACAGCTTAACTTCAAAACGTACCTTGCAACTAATGAGGTGACAGCCGTGCATATTAATAAATGCAAAGCTGTAGTCGTAGCCATCGCACCCACATCAAACGTAAACGGGAGATTAACACCTACACTGCTTCTTTGGAAGATGTGAGAATGTCCCAATGATAAGTGTGCTCTTTTCCCCAGAGGACAAGAAGTAGAAATGGAAGGGTAATGAGAAATTAACTTAGATTTAAAACAGAATTAGCAATTAAACAAGTCTAATCACGTACAAAGTCAAAGTTTGTATAAAGACAAACCGAAATCTGTTAAGTTCAAGAATAAGTATAGGCCGTATGCATTTCATCTGGTGTGTTTTTCTCTCACCTTCTTATTAAAAGAGATGTTTGAAATAAGTGTTACCCACTTGTGTTTAATTGTACCAACAGGCATTTGTATGCACATATGTGAACTGGCACACGTTGCACTGGTCTTGGGACCGCAGCCTTTGAGCGTATTCTAAGTGTGTCAGAGTAGATGGAGGTGTGTTCTGGTTTGTGGGGCTGAGCCCACGTTGGTGAGAGCTGATCAGCTTTAGCATCACATATAGTGAAGCACAAGCAAAGGTAATGGGGCACTTGTGTGTGCACACACAGACCGTGTGCACACATGGCTGTACCCCTGTCTGCACGCTTACACATTGCTTGGGCTCAGTTCAGAAGAATAAAAATCACAGCAAAAAGTGCTGCAGAGGTCATTTGGCAAGAAAACATTGGAAATATTTTCATTCTTTCAGCAGCTTCACTTTGTTCACAGTAATGTTCTGTGGGCTGTCCTCGGCTAAGATGGCTTTTGTATCTGGTCTCCCTTGAACCTGGCATATTGCAGCCTGACGTGAGGAAAACGCTGAAAGTCAAGAGACAGCTTTTAGAAACCTGTGGGGTGTTTTTTCGTGTGTTTTTTTTTTTTTTTCCTGCAATCATAAATCCGTTTTCTTTTCAATGAACCAAGATGAGGGAAATGTCGGGTGTTGGCAAAGCTGAAGCTCTGACGTGTGTGTTTACTGGTAAGTAAGAGCTTGGAGGTCCCATTTATCTGCAGAGGTGAAGCGACTTAGATCACAAAGAGAACTTGTGCATCCTCCATAATGATGCTTCGTAGAAGTCATTTGTATGAAGCAAGCACTGGTAATGGCAGCATAATGACCCCTTTTGGCTCTTGTTTAAATTCTTTCACTTCTAAACAGTAATATTAATCACAAGCAGATGGTGCAGAACATTATTTATGCACATTTGTTTTCCAAAACCAAAAAATATTTAACCCATTAGCTGAAGTGGTTTATGAACATAAAGGCCAATTTACTGATGGGGTGATTATTCTTCCTCCTTCCCTTCAATGTGAGTTACTTTACAAAGTGGGTTGTCATTTGGGTTGTCATTTCCTTTTTCTTTTTTCTCAAAGATACCGGCACAGCCGTTGGAATTTGTAGCAAACATTTGCTCACGTTCTCCATTTGTGGGGCTGCGTAAACTGCGCTGCAAAGACCGACACGGTTTGTTCTCAGCAGTGCTCGTTTGGCTGCGATTGCTCTGCAGGTCTCAACCTGCACTGCCTTCGTTCACCCCTAATGGACTGATTTCCCCATTGCTTTCTTTCTCTTTTAGGATGTTGTTGTTGTTGCTTTGTTTTATTTATTTTTAGCGAGGGGGAGGATTTTTGGATCAAGCGACGCGTAATGAATGACAGATGGCCATTCAATTAAAATTATATCGACTTACTGTCAGGTGCCGCGTGTCGGGGGTGGGGAGGTGGGATCTGCTGATCCCCCATGGCACAGGGTGCTGGCTCTGGGGCAGGGGACACACGTGCTCAGTGGTTTCCTCTGGGCAGGTCGTGTTAAGGGAGTGAGAGGTGGGAGAACACCCTGCCTCCTTCTCACACCCAGCCGAGCAAACCCCTTGGAAGCAAACCTTCTGTGGGGTTGTGGCGTTTCGTGCTCAGAGCATCCTTCTGTCTGCCCAGACCTGTGCTGAGCAGAGAGAGAGGATTGCTGTGCTGTCAGAAAGCGACGCTGTGTCCTTGGGAAGGTCAGCTGGGATGGCTGCACACCTTGCAGTGCTCGGGGTGAGCGCGGGGCCCACTGGCGTGCTGTGCCCATCCCATGGCACTCAGCAAAGCAGCTCGGCAGGCACGTTGCCTGGAGGTTGCCATAAGCAAATGTAGGAGTCTTCTTGAAGCTTCGGTTAGAAAGAATATTCCTAAAACATTGGTATATATGCAGCAGTTTGGGGCCGTGGATTGCTCTGTAGCAGTATTTTGTCTCCTCACCTGCAGCTGGAGGGCAGGTAATCGTCTGCCAAAGACTGGTGCATGGGTGGCAGTGCTGCAGTTGAAGCAGAGTTCGGCACACCCAAAGCTGTGCGTGCTGTCGTGCAGCAGAGGCACCCAGCACTGCTTTTTCCTTTTTGCTTTGGGAGGAAATTGCAAAACGTACTTTGAGTATTGATACCGAAATTAAACGTGCAGATCCTGTGAAGCTGAGTAAAGTGTTATTGAACGCTCCCCCTTTCTAAAGTGTTTTTTTAGCTCAAATATAGGGAAGCGTTTAATCAGCTTGCTAATTGAGGTTATACATTTTTACATTACAGGGACAAATTAAGCGAGCTACTGTGGTACCAGAAGACATCTGCTAAAGAAAGGCAAACTTAATGATAAACCAAATTAGGTTCTTTCCTAGTTGGGTTTCATCCATCTGCACCCAACTAGTGTTCTCTTTTAAAGAAGGCAGGGAGATGAGTGGCTGCATTTAACCCATAATGACAGAAGAAGGCAGCGATTAGGCTGAGCTCTCATCTTCCCTTGTGTAAGCCTGGCCATACCATGCATGCTGCTGTTCTCATGGTGTAGCCTGGCTGGGTGCTTAGTGCTTTATTTGCACGTTGATTTTACAGTGTGCAACAGAACTTCTTGTACATCAGAGGGGGTCAGTGATGGGAGCTTTGCACTTACAGTCTGGTTTTACGATGCACATCTGTTCCTGTATATCTATATGGGATTTTTAGCGTTTGATTTTCTCCCTTGCGTCGTCTTCTCCTGCAGCCCCAGCCCAGGCAGTGGATTGTTTTGATTAATCCTCGTCTAAACGTAGTGCTTCCACTTGTGGAAGTGATTCCCTATTGAATTTCAGCATATTTTTTCAGTCTCATTTGTCAGGATTGCTTTGAATTCCAGATCCCATCCTGCAGAGCTCAGGTGGCCCCTTCCCAGCTGGTGTCACCTGCAGCTTCAATAGCACGGATTGCTGGTCTTTGGGGGACAGGTGTAACGTCACCTGTGCTGATGACAGCTACGAACCAGAGGTTGCAATGGAAACATACCTTTGAAATGTTTTCTATTAAAATCTATCACGCCAGTGATGGTCACCCCAACGCCTGTATTGGAATCATAACCATCTCTGTACGCCTCCAGGATAACCCAGGTGACCTCTGGTTTTGTTTGGCAGACGTGAAGCCGTCCAACATGCTGGTGAACACACGAGGGCAGGTGAAGCTGTGTGACTTCGGGGTGAGCACCCAGGTAATCCATTGCACGTCTCGTGCTGCAGTCACCTGGCTGCCGGGCGGGCAGCCCCCCTCTGCTGGGAGCCAGCCATTCAGCTCGAATCTCCGGGCGACTTTTCTCCATCTGAATATGATTGTTCATTGTTTAATGACAGTAAAAACTGCTGATATTGTAATTACTACTTACGAATAGCAAACTTCATTGATATGCAGCTTTGATATGAAAGCTTTTTGGCCACACAAAAGGGAGGGCAGAACGAGAGATGTGTCTGGGGAGCCCAACTGGCCCACAATAAAAATTAATATTGGGAGTAACAATAGTGGTGGGCTTTTACAATGTGCAGCACAAATTTTAATTAATTTCCATTTTGGGCCTCCCTGGAGGACTTCTCTGCTAGTGACCCACGAGCTTGCCGTGCTGGTGATTTGAATTTCAGCACCTTTACTCTCAGCCAAGCGCCGGGACCAAAGAGAAGGTCAGCCTGGTATGATAAGTTGTCAGGGTCTGTTGTCCCTCCGAGCGCATTTAGTGCTGGTTGCATTCAAGTGATGAATGTGGCTTTATGCACATCTTGAGCCAGCTGACTGAAAAACGAGCGCCTTCAATCCTACGTCAAATTGACTTTTTATATCAGACTGGTGTGGGGTACTAAAGCGATAAGCATCCTGTTTAACAGAATGGTTTAAGGTTATCTGCCATAAACGGTAATGCGGCACTTGTTTAAATGGGAGCTCCAAACAAAAGAGAGATTTAATCATTTTTAATGCCTTTGCGGATAAATTTGTTCCCTTTTACATAATTTTTAGTTGATTTATAGGAATGATGATTGTAGGTTAAATGAGGAATAATTGCCCATTTTATTTCCACATTATCTTTATATTGTTCTAACAGACTGTTTTGTCTGATAGCTGGTGAATTCTATAGCCAAGACGTATGTCGGAACAAATGCTTACATGGCGGTAAGTGGATTTATGTAGGAATAACATTTAAATGCAAGTATTTGTTCACAGTCCTGTTCTACGTGGTGAGGATATATTCTAAACGGGCTCTCAGACCTCCTCTCCCCTGCCCTTGGTGTGATGGTGTGTCACAGAACATCTCTGTGCTCACATAGCAGCTCAGTGACAACGGCAGGCCTTGCTGATATGGAGAATAGCATCAGAAGAGCATTCTGCTCTGCGTGTGCCTTCTGGTTGTCTTTCATGCACTGCAACAGCTGGGAACAAAGAGGAGAGCCAGTCCAACACTGAAAAATGAATAGATGCAGCTTTCCCTCGGGAGCCCGTAGGTCCTTGCAGAGCGCTGATGGTGTTACTGTGCAGAGAATGGGGTCTGCTGTGCTGAGCACTCAGACGCGAGTCCGTCTCATGGGCATCTCTGATCCCTGCACACCTGTGTGGCTGTTTCCCATGGGAAACTGCCATGTGCAGATTTGAAGTTTGCATACCTGGGCTGATAGTACCAGGCCGCTGCCCTGCGTGCTGGGTGGTGTTCCTACCATGTGTCAGAAGGCATCAGGGCCTTTCACTTCTCTATAAGCATCTTAGTCCAGGAAATGCTCACTGCACCAACATGAGCATTTTTTGCTTTCTGTTCATCAGCGCTCTTTGTTTAACGAATGCGAGGACTTAAATGCTTCAGTTTAGGATTGCAGTAACTGTTGTCTTTTATTTTTTGGTCATGACAATTTCTTATTTGCCAACTACTTCTGTCATGGTATCAGTGGGGGAAAAGAAAATCAGCGTTCAGCTTGTTTAACAGCAAGCAAACAAAAAAGCCCACAGCACCAGAGTGCAGACAGCAGTACAAAATGGTTGATTCTTGTTTTTCAAACCTCGGAAAAGTGGAGAGAGAAATCCATGACCTTTCATCGCTTTCAGGTATTTTTCCTTACTTTCTTGTAAGGAGAAAGCAGCCCTGGGTGCCCATTTGTTTGCTAAGTGCTTTTCTAGTCAAGGTGTAGTCATTATGTGGCTTGTGAAACACTCGTGCCACCATCCTAGAAGGACTTGGGTTGTCCTTTGTCACCGGAATGCTACGTGCATCAAAATTGTTTTAAATAAAGAATGTGCCCATATATGTTACAGCGAGCTGCTGGTGTCTGTGCCTCTGTTCTCTAAAGCAACTGCACCATTGTGCTGCAGACAAGCCAGCAGCATCAAAGTATTAACTTCTCCAGCACAGCTCTTGCTTTTAGAGTGGTCTTCAACAGATCTAATAATTAAATTGTATTATGCTTTCGCTGTGCTAATCCAGGTTACTGTTCTCTTTCCCAGGTGTACATTGAATAGGTTTTACGTTTTTCTGGATGGCTGTGATGCATTCTTCTATTGATTGAGAAAGGAGTTTAAGCTCAAATGTGTTTGATCTGACCGGCCGTGTTAAAGTTGTTTTGCTAATGAAATTCATCAAATTCACAGTGTGCTCATCAGGAATGAATTCGAAACCATCAAAAATTAAACTATGTTTAAAATAAAAAATGCATTTTCTGGGAAAAATTATTATTATTATTATTATTGTTATTGTTATTGTTATTATTATTATTATTATATCTCCTACAAGGCACAGGGGAAAAAACCCAAACTTTTTAGGTGCAAAAGGTAACCAGAGGTAGAAATCTTTAGAATAAAGGTCTCTGAGCTCTGTATCATTAGGGTGAGCTGTGTGTTTTATGCCTTACCTTTTCCATGTGTCATTCTTGTTTCTGTCTTCTGCTCCAGAGTTTTAGAAGAGAAATTCCCATCACTGAACTGTTTATATTTGCTCACTGTGGTGTCCTTTAATGGGGAAAAAAAAAAAAAAAAAGATAAAATTAAATAAAACTCTTCCCCTCAAAAAAAGAAGCTGGCAAACCAAAATTAATTAAAACCACCAAAAACAAACAAACAAAAAGACAATTTTTGTGGCTCATTCGAAAGCCTTCTGTTGTAGTTTCTCTTTATTTTCAGATGATGGCAGTTTTGGAAGGCTACCCTTGAAGGCAGCGTGGGCAATGCTGTTTTTTACTTAATGTTCACGTTGCAGTAAAAGCTGTTGACCTGGGATTAGTGGTGCAGAGCAAACATCAGAAAACACATTGGACTGGCGCTAATTTGGGAGTTGGTTTTCTAAAAAAGGTCTCTGGATTATTGAGGACTAAAAATACAGGCGGTGCTTTGTAGATGGTGGGGCTAGACAGGTGCATTAGCAGCACAGTGGGGAGGGAAGTCTCATGGAGCCTTTTATTGTTACATTTCCTGCTGCACTTGACCTTGGAAATGCTGAAATTGTGGCTTTCAAGTAAAAACTAGCAGTTACATCTTGCAGCCTTCTATTTCATGAAGCATTAAATTTGTTATTAATAGCTTTGAGTGAAGTCTTTTTTTCCACAGATCAAAAATGAAATTAGTTAAATATCTATAAAATGAAATGTCTGCCACGTGACTTCATTTATTACTTTGACTTCAATAACTTTGCCTTTTAAGCCATACTTACTGCCCAACCCAGCCTGAGGAGTCTGTTTTCCTGCTGTAAGCCTACCTCCACTGCGTCCAGGCTCACAGGTCGGTGTGTACCACTGATGGACTCTTACAACTTGGCCTCCAATGGCTGTTTGTTGGCTACAGCAGCCCAAGCACAAATGCCAGGGCCAACCCTACAAGGTGCGTGGCAGCGCACAGCCGTGAGCCTGAGTGTAACCGAGCCCTTTGCTCTTGTAGGATCGAGGTGATAACAAGCTTTAAGATTCTTGGCATTTCATGAGGTGGTTTGTGCGCCCTTTTGTGGAAGGACCCTGGTTTGTCTGCTGGGTTCATGATGTTCCTTTCCATCTCTCTGCAGCCGGAACGGATTTCAGGAGAACAATACGGGATCCATTCGGACGTTTGGAGTTTAGGGATTTCCTTCATGGAGGTATGTAAACGTCTGTCATTTGTGCACTTCGGGAGAATCAAAGGAAAATTAATATCAAACTGTTTTAATGTGCTCTTTGTATGCTCTTCCATGTATGCATGCTTTTAACTTTTCCTGAGATGCCTGTCTGTATTTAGAATGGACTTGTTCTTACCAAGGTCAGTAAGGTAGAGAGAGCCTCTGCAAATGTGCAGCATGGAGCCCTCCACCAGATCTCCATTTGAGAGTGGAAAATAGGCCCAGTACAGGTGGCCTTTCAGCCAACAACGACGGTATTTCTGTATTCCAGCTTCATCAGGCAGGATAGAGAGGCCCACCGTTAGGGTTCCAATAGGGTTTGAGCTGTTTGATGCCCATGCAAGATGTTTAATCTGTAAAGCATTGCAGCATTCATGAATACTTTTAGAAGGATTTCTTACGCAGATAGTTTCGAACTGGAAACGGTCTGATCAAAATGAAGCGTTGGGACAATGGCTGTCACTGGCTGCTGCTTGCACAGATCCTTCTGTTTGCTCCTTCCCAACAAGCACTTCTTTCCAACCATTGATGGCTCGTGTGGTCTCTTGTACAGCCTGACAAAAGTGTGCTATGCAGTTACTGAGAAACACAGGTGCCATTTCCTTTTGCTAAGAGTAGCATCATTAAGGTGAAGTGCAGTGGACGTTTGTAGCAGAAGATGAGGTGGAGTTGTGTTGGTGCTGACCCACGGCATCTAGACAAGCAGCATTCCTTATAGCACAGAAGTTCTCTATGGCTATTGTTGTGTTTTCAAACAATACATTCCCTGCCGCTTGGTTTAACCAAAATGAAAATACTTAATGCTGAATCATTGCATTCAGGTCTTGTAAATCTTCCGAGTCTGATTGAAGTTAACTCTGAATATAGGATAATGACACACTTGAAAGTGTCACAGGGGATGCGGCGCTGTTAATTTGTTTTACTGCAGATTTCAATGGACTGTGATACTGGAGAGTCCTCACAATTTTGGAGAGCTGCAGAACATACTCGCGCTGTCTGTAAATGAATCTGTGCAACAAAGGGCTAAAATGAGATTGTATTACATTCATACTTGACTGTGGTGTTCATTTTGAGTCACAGTGGAATAGAGTGAGATAAACGCACAGGTGACGTGCAGCAGGTTTTACTGGTTCCTTTGCTGAGTGTATTGCTGAATGTATTTCTGTGTGCAGCAGCAATCCGATGGTCCTCCACAAAGACCAAGACTTTGGAGCTTAGTTAGGGGTTATTATTGGGCAACCTTAATGGTCATGAGATTGATTTAAAGGATGAATTTCGCAGCAACTTGCGCAGCATTAGGGACACGCATTGCATTTACTTTCTTCTCTTCTTTCAAACCTTCTCAACTTCTTTTTTTTTTCCCCCTCTCTCACTTCCCCTGGATGTGTCCTGAACCAGATGTACCAACCAATTTGGCTCTGTGTGCTTTGTTAATTGGTATGTCATCTGATCCTCTGAGACCTCTCTTCAGCGCCATCGCTCCTGCATTGAAGTGCTTTGAGTGATGTGTTAAATGATGAAAGCAAGGACAGTGGCTTAGAAGAATGTCGCAAAAAAGGTGAAGAAGCTGCTCCAAGAGCCACACAAGGTCACTGTCATTAAAGTAGCACTGTATTGACATGGGGATCGGCAGTGCAGGCGCTTGGGCTCTTGTTGATGGAACTGTTAAAATGGGAAGCTAGCATTTGCTGTAGGATTAGAAAATCATCTCCGCTTGGTAGCGTGTTACTCCAATCCCTACAGCTTCAAGTTAATGCAGTTAGAGCACATTAATTGGGATGAAATGACACGTGGAACCAAGACAGCAAGGTTGCGAGTTTGCTTTGTTTTTTTTTTGCTTTTAAAACATACAATAATATAAAATAGCAGCCTCCTAAATCTTCATATTTTCTTTAATCATCTTCTGAGCCTTGCAATGCCTTGAATTTCTTTGCTGCAATGCTATGTGTGCTGAGAAACCAAACTGTTTCTTCTGAATGTTCAGAAAACTCAGGAGCAGAGAAGTAGGATGTGGGTTGGACCGAGGTTTTGGGAGGCAGTGAGCATCTGCGTTCCTTTAGAAGTAAAAGATGTCCAAACATGTGCAGCTTTTTATTTTCGCTTTGCATTTCTTTCTTCAGGACTGCCTTAAAGAGAATTAAATTTAATACCTGACCCATGGACCTGTTCAGAAATGTTTCGTCACCAACAGTTTGTGCGTTCCCGTGAGGTTTTTAGATTAGTTTTACTTAAGTGTTCTGGGATTGACAGAGCAAGTTCAATTTAAGCCAGTGACACTGCTGTCACTGCACTGAGGACTGCGTCAGCATTTTCATTATAAAAGCTGTGTTTCAGAGGGTTTATAACTCAGCCGTAAAATACACCCCAGGCTGAACCTGAGTGTTGTTTTTGTTCTGTGACTGATTCAGCCTCCTTCCAAAAAAGATGCCCTGCATGGGAGGATGGATGAGATGGCTTCATATTTCTTGTATTACCCTAATCCTGCCTTACGTGCCTGCTATCTGGTGAATCCTTTTTCTTTTAGTAAGCCTTCTTGCCTCCCATTGCCTGTGTGAGGGGACAGAGTTGGTGAGGAGGGCTTGGCTGGACCCGGGGCACAGAGGATCAGTCTCCCACGGAGCAGTGTGAGGTACAGTGGTAGAAGGGAATCTGGGGGAGGGAGTAGGGTTGTGGTCCAAGCTATTTGTTGAGGCAAAGTGTAGGCTTGCATGTCTTTGTCAGGTGATCCAGGGCAAATGCAGCTAGTATTTTATTTAAATACAGGAAATAAGTGATTTGCTTGTGCCACAGATCAAAGCAGTTTTTGGAAGCAGAGTACAAACCCGTGTGTTTGAGTGACAGTGCCTTGTAAGAGCTTTCAGGGGCTGCTGGTGTCATTTGTGTTAATATGCTGTTTTAAGCAATATTTCAAGCAGTCATATTACAGATTTATGGCATCTCAGCACTCCCTTAGGTAGGAACACTGATACATACCCAGCAAACACGCATCGTGTATTTCAGGTACACGTGTAGCTTTGGAGTGGGGAAGGCAATATTTGCCTCCAACACCAACAGACTGCTGGAGCCTGCAGTGCACTTGGGCTGGGAGCACAGGTGGAGGTGCAAAAGGAGCACACGGTCCGTGAGCACACAGACTGGGGAACGTGTTTGAAGAAGGTGCTAGAAGGGAAACAGCTCTGCTTGGTGACGGTTCTCTTAAAGCACTTCAATCTTCAAGATGTTTGACTGCAGGAAATTGGTATAAGGATGCATCTGTAAGTAATCTGGTCAAGGAGCAGAGGTTTCAGAGGGATTGCTCCTAAAGAGTCTGAGATGAGTGATCAGCCACATGTCATCAGCACGCAGCTGATGGTGGTGAAGGAGTCACGATTGTGAGCTGATGGTGAGCAGGAAGTCCTGCAGACCATGATTTGGTCTTCTGCAAGATTTCCCTTACGAATGGACATTCTCTGCAGCATTTTGAATGTGCATAGCGGAGTGTTCCTGATTTACACAGATAAATCCTTACACACGTCATTCAGCTGTGCAGGATGATGCAGTTTAGAAACTTGCTCCTAGGAGAAAGCTGGCCTAGGTGTTCTGGGTGGGTTTTTTTTGTGTTGTTTCCCCCCACGGAGCTGTTTTGAGCCTTTTTCCAAACAGTGGCTTTTAGCCTGGTTCCATGCCTGCTGACTTCATGCGGCCATTGGGAAGAAGGAAGGCAGTGTCCAGCTACATCACCATTTTTGTGGCAGCGAAATGAGAAGTAGAAGGTAGCAGTGCCCGAGGGCTGGGTCATGAATTAATAATTGCTCTGTGGAGGAGGAGGCCCGTCAGAATAGCTGAAAACGGGGAAGTTGCCTTGCAGAGCGCTATCAATCACTCAGTGACCATAACTTCCAGTAATTAGTGTATTTTATGGGCCTTTGCTTCAGTGACTCGGAAGCACATATGCTCCACTCACAGCTAAACTTAGCCCAGTAATATTCCAGGATGATTTATCCGCTTGCTGCACTGGGATGTAACCCTATATTAGGTGAAGATTGTGAACTAAGCTGCAATAAAGTGTAAGTTTAGGTACAGTTTGCGTGGGTTGAGACCTCCATGTATCATGTTTCCCTGCAATTGCTCTTAGGCCACTGCGGGCAGTGTGTGCAGCGGCGAAATAAATAACGTGGAGTGAGTGGATGGATGGAGAGAGTCAGAGAACCGTTGGAGTTGGAAAGGCCCCCGAAAGGCCATCTGGTCCCACTCCCCTGCAATGAACAGGGATACCCACAGCTCCAGCAGGTGCTCAGAGCGCATCCCCAGACCTTGGCTGTCTGCGGGGATGGGGCACCACCACCCCTCTGTGCAGCCTGTGCAGTGCATCGCCGCCCTCACCGCGAAAACTTCTTCCTCATATCTGTTCTGGATCCCCCCTCTTTTAGTTAGAGCCCATTTCCCCTTTCAGAGGCTGTGTTTGCTCCTCTCCCCTTGGCAGCACCTTTGAAGCACCGCCGGTAAAAGCCTGCTCATCCGCAGGGCTGTGGAGGGGAAATGTGCCATTTAATCATGATTGCACGCAGCCTTCAGTACGCGGCGCATTCACTATGGCTCATATTTAAAAGAAGTCAAAGTGAAACTAATTATCTTTAATTAAGGTGAATTAGGCTTTGATTTTTAATATATTTTATGTAGAGAGATCCTCGAAACTCATCTGCTCACGCCAAGGAACGTCCCAAAGGTTATTAGGGCATATTTCTGGTGGGCCTGGCGGTGTCAGTAATAACCTCCTTTCTCATGGTTCCCGACACGAACAAATATGTCACTTCATCAGTCTCTGTTACCACACTTATGCCCCTCCGCGGGGGTCGCAGATTCCACAAGTTATCAGCTAATGGCGTTATACATTAAAAATTGAAGCTTTCCTCACTCCGAGGCCTTTCAAGGCTTTGTTCTTAAGCCCCAGACACTTTGGAGTGCAGCTGCAAACTATAGGCAGAAGATTAAATTAATTTGTAACTCTTTTTTTTTTTTTTTTTCGTCCTGCATTGCTAAATCCCGCACATTTAATTGAAACCCTACTTCAAGATGCTTTGTGTTTCTGTTCATCTTTGTTGTCAGTTTAACCTCAGAAGCACTTTAACGCTGGTAAATTGCTGTTATATCCTTTTGGATTTTCTCTTTTTTTTTTTCTTTAAACTGAGCAATAAGAGGACGGTAAAATTGATATTAGAAGGAAAGAAAAATCTTGGAGTAGTTTTTGAGGTATTTAATATTTATTAAGGTCCGTACCCTGCAGAGTTCCAGGTGATTTTAAGCCGTCTATCTAGGAATGGATAAATTGGTCTTGGAAGGAAATTTCACCCAGGGAATTTGATGTTATCCAGTAGTTAAGTCTGATTTTAAAGTTTCCCGTGTCTGAAGGTTCCGAAGTGATGGCAGCTTCTCCATAAAACGAGGGTTTAACTGCGGTGCACAATCTAAATGCAAAATCCTCAGATGGAAATTTAATTGTGCAAAATGTGCACGAGGTAATTAAGAACAAATTTTAGAACATTTCAGACCATAAAGTCCTCCTTCAGCTGGATCGCGAGCGATATTGTGAGTGCTTATTTTCAATTTGCAGTTATGCTGAGAAACATGGAATGTGTCTGAATTAAGGATGAAAGCATCCCGTGCTTTTCAGTGTCACTGTAAATTAAAAAACAACTCGCACAACAGAGTAGATACTGATAAGTGGGAAACTTCATTGCCCGAGTGCCCTAAGGATATGTTTTGGGTTTCCTTCCCTCAGTCCCTTTCTGAGCAGGACAAGAACTGCTGCTGCTGTAATTCTTGTTAAGTGTGCAGGAAAGCAACGTGGGGAAAAATGGTTTGTTGGGAAGGATGTCTGGATTTCCAGTTTCAGCTCCAGAATGGTTAATTATGTTTTTCCAACAAGTCGTTTTGATTTTGTCTTCACTTATCTGCACGTTAAGTGTATGTTTGTAATTGCAAACAGGTTGAGCCTGGTTGGAGTTGTTTTCCAGCTCTTCTTACAGCTGCTCAGCACAAAGGCTTCGGGCACCTCCCTCTACCAGAACTGCCCTCACCCTGATGCTGGCTGCCCTGACCCTACCAAACACTGGTGGTAGTGTTTTTTGCCTCGTGGTTTTTGCTTTTCTTTCTGCATTCTTAACACATTTTGACCCAATCTGACCAACTGCACCTCTGCATTTTATTGGCTCATTTTGGAGTGTTTATGTCTCATTGTATCAGTTGCTGTTTTAAACCCTGATGGTGTTCCTCTGCGCCTCCCTGAGTCCCAGCAAATGCTCCTATCAGGGACTGCATAGCAGAAATCATTTTTTAGGGCACAACTTCACTGATCCCCATGAAGATGAGAGTTTGGAGCGCTCTGATTCTGATGGGCTACGTTATGTCTATGCAAGTAATAGTAAAAAGGAAAAAAATGTGCAGGCGTGCGGTTGCTCTGAAGTGAAATAGTGAAGGGAGGTGTTCCTCTGACATATTTCTTGCTGCTATGGTTTGATTCCCCTTTATATTTCTGTTCCACGCCGGCAGTGCAATTCACTGTGCCTTTTTACAATGAGGTTTTTTACAGTCCTTGTGCAGTGTGAAGGGGCCCACGGGGAAATGAGAGGCAGCACCTCGGAGTCTGAGCGTTCCCTTCTCTCCTCCGTAATATCCAGAGCCACATAAAGCAGCAGTCGGTTCCTGTGCCTAACTACTGAAAACTGAAATGTTATATTTTGGCTGCAATGCCTTAAAAACAAAATTAGGAGTTCCCAAGTTGCCTCATGTGAATGCAGAGAAGTTTTTGATGCTGTTTTAACTTTGTAGTTTACGTTTTCTGCGCTCTGCTTTAAGCTGAGTTGCGCATGTTTAAATGCCTTCCTGGAGTCAGGATGATGGAGGGTACAGAAATCCCTTTAGTAAAGCTCTAATCTGTTTGTTTTGGGGTTTTTCTTTCTTTGCTTTTACTGTGACACTATTTATAAATCTAAATCTGCGTACAGAGGTCATTGGTTGGCTGAACTTAAACCATTTTACTTAGTAAATTTAATTAAGAAAATACAGTGCAACTCATAAGCAAATGAGTTTTTCCTAGTTTTAAACCAAACCACCCTCTTGAGTGCTGATTGCCTTGCTCGACCCCTGGTGATATAGAAACAGGCAAAATTAAAAAGGACATTAAAGCTTCATTAAATCTGAAACACATTTAGTACAGTGACATATCTGCAGGCTATTTCAGGGAAGATTACATACTCTTTGGTAAGTTTCTTAATTTATAATACCTTGACAATCTTGCAGGAGGGAAACAACTCTGACTGGATGGACTGAGGGATGGTTCTGGGAATGCAGAACTGCTGCTCAGCCCATCCAGGGCTGCTCTGCAGTTCTCAGGGAGCAGCTTCACCAAGCAGTCTGTCTTTGTTAACAGCCCCCAAAGAACTCATGCCCAATGCATTTTGGATTCTCGGGGGCTCATTTGTACGCTGCATACCTCAGTCTGGCAGAGAACTGCTCTTTCCTCAGTTGTTCAGTGGCTTTTGGAGTCATGTAGGCAAAGCCCTACCGTAACGTGGTGGAGGTCAGGGGAAGGAATCATCCCTGAGGACAGGAATGCTGAGTCTGAAGCCAGCATTGAGGTAGTGGTAGGTTTTCTGCTTAAAGAAGGTCTGCAGAACGATACCTTATGTGTAGAGCCATAATGATCTTGTTTTTATTTATACTGTGGGATAAATATGATGTGCCTACAAATCTGTAGCTGTTGTCATGACTGTTCTTAAGTTGGTAGTCGTTGGGAAAATTAAGTTTTCTTCTGGTTTTGTTTGTTGTAAAGTGTTTATTTGGCATTTATGGGTTTATTGTTAGGCACTGGATGTTGCAGCAGCTGTGCTTTGTAGGATCTTGGGCAGCTTCTTGTAAGTTGAGGATGGTCCTCCCAGGAGATGAGAAAACGGAAAAGGGAATTGTTCTGTATGTGTTAGTGGCTTCTGATCCTTAGGACTGAGCATGACAGAAAACATAGGGCCTGCCTTTATCCTTTTAGCATTGTATTTCAAAGCCCGACATCAGAAAGTGACTGACTGAGCTGGGAGAAGTGGAGAACCAGACAGCAGTGACAGAAAGGGAGCATCGAGTCTGCTCAGCTTGAATTTGTTTGCTGGAAGGGTGAATTTCCTACAGGGAGAAGCTCTGAGCTCCCTGCTGCACAAAGGAATCGTTTCCTTTCTTTGGGTGTCTGTTGCATGCCTCTTAAACACTTCAGGTACCTACCCTGCTCCTGTCAAGTCTTTCCTCTGAGGATCTGGATGAAGTTTACTGAATTCTAAAGACTTACAGCCAAATGTCCCATACAACATAGGCTTGGGTGGCTGCTGGTATGGCAGAAACAGCACCATCTCCACTGATGCCTGTTTGCTTCCTCTCTGCTGCCAGCTTCTCCTTATCGCCGTCTCATCACTCTGTACCTCACCAGGTGAGACTGAGTGATGTCTGCTGCTCTTTGCCCCACCACTTCCCTACCTTTCTACAGCTCTGCCGTATTGTTTGTACTTCAGATGGTTCTGTGCTGCCAACTGGGCTGAAATTTCAGCATAGGTTGTATAGGCACAGCTGCCTCAGCTGCAGTCTGCCTAGGTCAAATAACCCTGGCACTGAGGAGCTCAAATGACAGCAGCAGTACGGTGCTTTCCCCCAGTGCTGGCAGTACACAGCACGGCTGAGACCTTTGGCACTGATGCTGCTACTCGGTCTGAAGTGAGTATAGTTTGTCATGCAGACAAATCGATGATAGCATTGCATCCATAACCTCTGGGTAGATCACCTCCTCAAGATCACAGTATCACGGAATGGTTAAGGTTGGAAAAGATCCCCAAGTCCAACCCCAACCCATCCCACCATGCCCATGACCACATCCCTCAGTGCCACATCTCCATGCTTCTTGGGCAGTGACTCCACCACTTCCCTGGGCAGCTGTGCCAGTGCCTGACCAAAGGTAACCCCCTCCTGAAGGAAGGGAAGGGTAAGTGCCAGTTAGCAGCGGTGTCATGAACCCACCTGCCTACAGCTCTTTTGTTGGCAGTGCAAGGACGTGGGCTTCATCACAAAGCACATCAGAACACAAAGGTAACTGCCCACAGTGCACTTCTGGGGAGTCTGTGTCAACTGTGAAAACCCACGTCCTTCACTGGATGGTAGACAAAATAGAATGGTTGTATTTTGCTGAAATTCTTTCAAAGGTTCAGATGCCAATGGGGGAAACCTAAACTCTTGTACCAAAGAAAGGGTTTCTCATGGACTGACTATTAGCTGTGGCATTGTGTCAGCGTCAGTATTGTTGAGTCTAATAGCAGTACTAGCAGTTACATCAGTAATGCATCAAGTAAGGGATGATACAACACGTGCTGTTCATATGGCGTGCAATGGAAGGTAGGTTTGAAGGAAAGCCCATGTGTTGTATTGCAGGTGCCACGTTCTTTCCAGATCTCACACGCGGGTTCCTAGCTGGGTTTGACACCGATAAGGAAACAAACCTCAGCTATATAACCCAGATTTCACTCTGAGCTGGTTAGGGAAGGACTCAGGGAGTTCAGTGCATGCTCATTGCAGATAATTAGCAGGCAGGTCAGTGTCGGTGGCCTCGCTGCTGAGGCTGAACTGGTTTAATTTAGAGAGTCCTCAGGAACTTGGGCATCAAACAGAGTCACTGAGTGGTACAGACAAAAGCTTGAGAAATACAGGAATATGCAGAAATGAAAAAAAAAAAGGCTAATTGTTGTGAATGACTCCATTCTAAATGCAGCTCTTTGTGTACTTCTGCTGGCATTTCCCTTTTATACAATAGTGAGAGTTGAGTACTTTTCTCTCTTTAAGAAAATGTGCCCTCCATGCAAATCTGTGTAACTAGACAAATATTATTTCCTTTCCCAGCTTGCTCTTGGGAGGTTTCCATATCCTCAGGTAAGATTGTTCATTACTGCTGTTTGCCACTGTGACATTCATTCCTATGTATGAAGGTGCAGAGAGCAATTGTGAACATTTGAGCCACATACAAATAAATCTGTCCTGTTAAATTGAAAAGTACTATCTTGAAGGAGTCATTTAGTAGTCTGTATTGATTTTATTTTATTTTTCCTTTTTCCCCCCAAACTCCAGATTTTCTCTTCCCTGGAGAGAAGCAAGATTATGATGATGTTAATGATTGTTTTGTTGTGAGATTAAAAAATAATCCCATATGTACAGCACTGCTTTTGATGCCAGGAAGATGCATCTACTCCTTTTTCCTACATTCATTTTTCAGTTCCAATTTTAAATGGTGTTACAACCGCCCAAAATCATCTCAAATCAAAAATATAATGTGAGTGGAATACGTAAAAGGATTCTGGATTCTCCCTTTTAAGAGGAGATATGCTAACATTAACTGGTGTTTGTGTTTATATTCTGACATTTTCTAACTCATAAAACTATTTCCAACTTGGCTATGGCCAATATTACCACTTTTGCTTTGCACGCTTGAAAAAAACACGAAGCTCTGAACAGAGCCATCAATCCACAGCTATGTCTGGGGCTTCCTTTAAATCCTTGTTGCGAGATGGGTGTTAGAATTCATCAGCACAAACTATTCTGTAGTTCTTCAAATCGTTCTTTCCTGGGAGAGGGGGAAAAAGTGAAGTGTCCAGGGACTCAAATGAATTATTTGAATGTGGTTTTTATGTTTTCTTGTGTTTTATGAGCGCTGCTTTCTGCATCTTGGTCTATACAGATCAGAGTGCCTGGAGGCATGTCTGATTTAAAGGTGGTGTTGGTCTGTGCTCTTTAAGCATCTATTAACTTGCTATTATTATGCAAATAACTGTTGTAATACACATACTAATTTATGCATGGTTAGATTATGCAGATGCCTCACAAACATGGTTATTGAATAATAGGCTGGGACTCATTCTCTCCCATTTTTATAAGCTGTTTTAAGCAAATTCTCCTGACAGTTTTATGGACTTGTAAAGATTTTGTGTACGTGGAAACACCCTGATTTCACACTGTATCTCCTGTGGAAAACATTTACTGACCAAAAGAAAGCTGTCGTTGGGTACCCAGCAGATTTTGTCCATATTTTCTCCGTGCTGTGAAATGAAACCTCTCCTTTGAGAGCGGGCTGAAAAAGCAGCTCTTGTGCTGAAGTGCCCTCCATGCGTTGGCACAGCCTCTGGTGCTCGTTGGGCATCTCAGTGCCCTTTGTGCTAAAGCTGAGTGCTGGGGGATGCAGCTCGGGCTGCCCGCTGTGCACAGAGGCACTGGAGCTGGGGAGGGAATGCTGGTTGGGGTGCATTGTGGATGGCTGCAGACCAAAACTTGTTTTCTAAACTGGGAGCAGAACATGATTGCTAGTTTAAGATCCTTTTTTTTTTTTTTTTTGCTGTTCTAATTAAAAAACAGATCGCATTTGTAAAAGAATATTTGGCAAGTCAGTAGGCCATGAAATTGTGTATATTTTTTAATGCAAAACAGTTGAAGAGGTGAAACTTTTAGAATGTAGCTATTAAGGTTTTCAGGCAACTGCTTTTTGTAAGGACTTTATGTGAAGTATCTGCATTTTGGATGCGAGTGCTCATAGCTGGTCACCAGAACCCTCAGCACCTCACTGTGACCAGGTGGATGATTGCAGGGTGTTGGGTTTATTTCATGTCTGTGTGAATATATAACAGACCTGTTTGTAACTGAGCGGATCTGCAGCGTGTTGCTGGGTTTGTGGAGGTGGTTGAAGCTGATGGTCCATGGGCTCACAGTGTTTGCCCCCATCAGCGTGGGCTGGCTTCCCTCTGCCAGCGGGGTGCGTGGCTCTGTGCTGGGGAGCACCTGGAACTGCCCACAAAGGAGCCTTTGCCTCCAGCTGTAGCTGAACAGAAAAGGATTTTTTCCCCTCTACGTTTAAGTTGCAGACAAATGTTGTGTGCAGACCCAGTTTAAATGAACAAGATTTATTCATCGTTGTACTGTGGCGATTCAGGACTCCTGCAATATGCCGGCGCAATTAAAGGATGGTTTTTTATGTGGCCTTTAGTAGGATACTTTGAGGATAAAATTCAGCACTTTTCATTTTCCATGTGTTTTATGAGCATCTATTTTGCTAACACTTATTTGTCACGTTGTCATTATTTAATCTTCTGTTAAAGTCGTGTCTGGGAAGCACTTCAGTGAGCAACCAACTGCATAGGGAAGGGAAGTTGCATGTGGGTTTAGAGTTCAGTGTAATCTTTGGAATCTAGTTATGGAGTTACTGTCATTTTTAGTCACAATATGCAGTTAATTTCATAATCTGTCAGTAGCTGCCAACGGTGGTGATCTGAGTAAGGAAATGAGGAACAGCAGAGCTTAGAACAGGCTTTCCCACTATGAGAACTCCACAAAGGGAACTCAGATCCTTAAAATGAGGTGACACGTCAAACGTGGCGAGTGCTTGTCACGTCTTGTTGTTTGTTTTCCTGGCACAGTGTAAAATTCCTTTTGGAAGAGGGAGTGTATGAGACTCACAGGACTTTCTGTAGATACAGACAGATGCACATAGGGGTATATTCTTCCCCTGGTGCGCAGTTCCATTCAGATAAGTGGAGTGGTGCACACACACACTGGCATGAAAGACTCTTTAGAATAAAGTTATTTCCTGTGGAAGCATTGAAAATTGCAAGGAGAGCCCTTTCCCTGCTGATACCATTGGTGCAGGATTTGAGACATGAAAGCTCCGCTTATAAGAAATAAGTTCCAAATTTCTTGTAAAAGTTTAATCTTAATTCCTCTGATTTTGGCAGCAGCTTATTCATTTCCACAGAAAGAGCTGTAAAAAATATATATTCAGATACATATATATATATAAAAACAACAGAAGGCCTCGGGACCTCAGAGCAAATGGAATTAAATTGGAAGCTGGAAGCCCCAAGATGTGCAGTGGCTGAGTGCGCTTTGTCGCAGCATCAGTGTGGTGTATAAAACATGATGGGGCAATGGCTGGTTTAATGATAATGTAATTTAGGAAAAATGAAAAGAATTGACCACTAAATATTCCCGGCTTGTAGTCCAACTTTGCACAAAGCAGGATGCTGGAGGACTGCATCCATTAGGGAGATGCTCTGGAGGAACGGGCAGGCGCTGCCGTCAGCGCTGGCTGTCAGATGTGCTGCGTTGAGAGGGATGTTGAGAGCCACTGTTCCGGGCCTGGGTTAATAAATGACAGGAAAATGACCCGAAGTTTATAAACCTGCCCTCCCTCCCATGCACACCTCCTGCCCTGCTTCTCCCCCACTCCAAATCTGAGCAAACAGTGCCCCCAGTATTGTAAAGCTTTGAACGTTTTCACACTCCATTAATTTATTACTCCTCTTTCCTCATCTTTAAATTTATCTCTCCCCCCCCCCCCCCTTTTTTTTTCTTCCCTTAAAAAAAAAAAAAAAAAAAACCCCGGCTCCCCGCTGCTACAGCGATTTTCATCTTGTTGTTAATTTTCCCTGCTCCATATGGAGCTCCAGACATTTCACCTGGAGGCTGTACTAGATTTTGCTGTAGCGATCGCACTTCCGGAGGCCAAAACTGTCATTTAAGGTTCCCGGTGCATCTGTCTACGCCAGGCTTTTCGCTGGCACCGGAGAGCTGGGATAACAAATTGGATGCACCTGAGATTGGGGTGCGGAGCGCGGAGCCGCGCGTCCAGCGTCGCCCGAGTGCGGGGAGACGGAGAGGAGCAAATATTTCATCCCGCCTTGTCATTGATTAGAAAAGAGCCTTTAATTTCATTTCACCCCATGTTGTGATTAATTTGCATTCTTTGTCAGAAGTTAATGGAGTTTTTTATGGTTCACTCTGAAATCCTTGAAGACATCAGAGTTGATCTGATGTTTATACAACCGCCAGCGGAATTTTTTCGTGTGATTGATGGAGAGCTTGATGTTATTCCAAACGGCTTTTTAAGCTGTTTTTAAGAATTATTTGAATAAAATGCGAGCGAGATATTGTTATAACGATCAAGATTATCTGTTAAAAATCTGTTTCAAATAAAGAACGCGATAAGTAGAAAAAAAAAGATCAGAAAGAGACGAGGGATGATGGATGCCGGAGATGTATTTCTTAAAATGTATCATCCCTGCATTCAAATAACTTCCTGCAAAAGGCACCGAAAGTCACACGAACCTTCACTGAATGACTGCTTGGGAGAAGCAGAGTTTTGCAGCCCGATGCAGAGCTGTGAGGAAGGAGCTGAGCCGCGCTCGGGTTTTTCCCCTCTTGTTTTCCCTGGCATCGGCACGGAGCCGCGTCCCCGCTCGGAGCCGACGGGCCGATGACTGAGAGCCATCCTTAATTCCCACTGCAAACAAACCTAAGTGGATAATAGGAGGTTTTATAGCCCGAGCGAGCACTGCACGCGTGCCTGTATAAGGGAATATACAGCCTTTATAAGAAAATACACGGCTGGAAAGGCTCAGTGCGTGCCGTTCTGTGCTCCTCCCGTTGGGGAGAGCTCTGTACTTCTCCAGTGCCCGACGCACGGACGGCGATGGGCCGCAGCACAGCCCCACTCCAGGCTTCCAGCAGCGAGAGATCTCCCATCTCTGTTAGCATGTTTCATTGCTGGTGGTGTTTTTTAAGGGGGGGGGAGGTGGTTCTTTTTATTCTTTTTATTCTTTTTTTCCTTGCCTGATTTTTGTGTTCCGCCCTCGCTGTGATTTCTGCAATAAGATTTAATTGTAGGTCAAAAAAAGAAACCCACCAAACCAACCAAGCGCCTGTGAGCGCTCCCATTTCAAACAGCTTCATTTGTTTGCTGCGTCTCAGCTTGCAAAATAATTGCGTGGCTTTAAGTGGAGCTGCAGCTTTCTGAGCCCTCTATGAGCACAGCCTGAGACTCTTTTTGTTATATGCAATCCATACTATTGACCAAATTTGGCCTGGTTTCGTTGAAATGTAAGCAGGTTGTC